ATGTATCATATATTAAACATTATCACAAACATACATATTTACCTTCTTATGTTATGTTGAAGAAACATGTATCATACATTAAACATTACCACAAACATACACATTTACCTTCTTATGTTATGTTAAAGAAACATGTATGATACATTAAACATTACCACAAACATACATATTTACCTTCTTATGTTATGTTGAAGAAACATGTATCATATATTAAACATTATCACAAACATAGTGATTTACCTTCTTAAACTTTTGTATCAATACTGAAAGATTTTGTTTTCTAGGAAATTTCCTCGAGACAACGCTTCTTAACCATTCTATCTACACATAAAATAAAGATTTTTAAAGGAAAAATATGATAAATTGTTAAATACTGAAAGGTTCTGCTTATATATATAACATTAAGAAATAACTTTCCCCAATATTATTTTGTTTTCAATTTCAAAAGCTTTGAAGTCAATATATTTTACATGTTATAAAACTTTAGATTTGGTACAATATAATCCTGGCAATTAAAATACATAATTATTGTACACAAAACCAATTCCTTTGTTGATACAGATATTAAATAATAGTACATGAGCTATGCATGTACGTATGGGTGAATATATATATGTGTATCGAGTATTTAGTAACAATTTAACTGAAAGGCATATAAATATATATATATTTGTCATCTTTGGTTTTGACATTAAAAGTTATAACAAAAAACAGAAGTCAATTTTTGATTACATTAATTTCTACAAATATGTGCCAATGATTTTATCACCAGCTAAGTAGTATTGGTAAATATTTATTAACATCATCCAAAGTCCCAAGTGCTAAAATAAACAAGTATAATACGTTGTTTTCTTCTACAGTGTTGTCTTCAACCTAACAATTCAGCACCAAGTCAAGGCTAAGTCAACAAACAATGCAAAGAATGTTTACAAAATTTAAAAGCACTCTCACGTTTAACATCCAAAAAGCCTCAACCTTCAACAGATACTAAGAATATTAATGAGTCATTGTTTGTTCATTCCAAAAACTACCGAACTACATCAATAGGAGCTGTTACACAGAAACCATTCCTTCAGCACATAAATTGATGTAAGCTCTTTTATTTTACATTCATATTCTTATTTTACATATTGTTGTGTAAAAAGCAACCTATAACTACTTAATGGTGAAATTCTGTTGCTTAAGTATTCAATAAATGTCTTTTGAGGTTCAAACTGTTATGTCACTTTCAATTTGATTCAGTTATTTCTTAGACCTATGTAAGGTGTATCCAGAAATTTACATACAGCATTAAACGTTTCCATGACATCACCAGTTTCTTTTTACTTACGAGACACTGCCATTCTGTTGTGAACACTTTTTCTTTAACTAGTTTCCAACATAATCATTGTGTTGTGGTCCACCAATTTCCAGTGTGAACTGTTTCCTGGACACTACCACTAAATGATGAAAATTTTCTAAATGACATTTATGTTCGCTGGAAACTGTATTCATGTCATAATTAATCTTAATTAGCGGCCAACTGCTGCTTTATCACCATTACCAGGAAACATGTATCCATTCAACTTTTATGTCCTAGTCTAATGCAGTGATTTTCAACTGTTAGGTCATGAGATGCACAGTTATGGGCCACTGAAGCCCGGGATAACCGTGACTGCCCTAAACTGCATACGAGAGCCTTTACTATTGTATCAAATAACAAAAGGGTCTTGATGTGCAAAAGGTTGAGAAACCCTGGTTTAGTAGACAACACATCTGACACCTTATCTTGAGACCCTGGGTTTGAATCTCATAATATCACAAACAGTTCTTAGTAGCAATATCCCTCAAAATACAGATCTCAAAAAACACTGTTAAAATAATATTTTCAAGATTAGATTAAATTAAAATAATAAAATGGAAGGTGAGAGTGATTATTAATAATAATTAATAACGTTTCACAATAAATTAACATTACAATGTTTCCATACATATCTTTACCAACGGAATAAAAATAACAGATTTAAGTCACCTAACACACAAAGATAAGGAAGTTGATATTTACTTTTGGATATTTCCAAGAGACAAAATGTTAGTTGTGTCAATAGTTAATGGTGTATATAATAAAAACACAATACATTAGTTATGGATTAAGAATACATACATTATCATACTCAAACCAAAATTAACAGAATTTTCAGACTTATATTAATTTGGAGACGGTTAGCTTTTTAAACAGTTGCTCAAGTCAGTCAGAATGGAAATGATCAAATCTACAATTAGCAGATAAAAAACAAAAAATCCTCTACATGTATTGTGTACATTAATATCCATGACTAGCTTCTTGGTCAGTTCTGTAAAAAAATGGCTTTGTTGAAGAGCGTGATATAAAACCAGTTTGTTTATTCAACAATCAAAAT